AATTTTTTTCCTTTTTTTTTTTTTTTTTTTTTTTTTTTTTTTTTTTTTTTTTTTTGCGGTACGTGAGCCTCTCACTGTTGTGGTCTCTCCTGCTGTGGAGCACAGGCTCCGGACGCGCAGGCTCAGCGGCCATGGCTCACGGGCCCAGCCGCTCTGTGGCATGTGGGATCTTCCCGGACCGGGGCATGAACCTGTGTCCCCTGCATTGGCAGGCGGACTCTCAACCACTGCGCCACCAGGGAAGCCCACCATTCATATCTTTTAGAAAGAAAACATTATCTGTTGGCAGATTTGTGACATAAGCATATACTGTTTTCCTGAATTTTTCAGCTTCTCTGTATGTCCTTTAAATGTCCTTCTACAGCATGGTTTTAATGGCTGGACAGTAATATGTCATACTGGTGTAGTGTAAAACTGGTCAAGTCAGTGGATGTGGAATTGTTTCCAGATTATCAGCAATCTTACACATATCTTTATGCCCATCTCTGATTATTTTCTTATGATAAATTCCTATAAGTGGGATTTGCAGGTTAGAGTATGAACTTATTTAAAGCTTTAACTGTGCTTAGTCTTTTACTATGGTAGTACTTTCTATGCTCTGATATTTTCCTCTTAGCAGGAGATGGTGGGGCAGGCCTGGAGGTGGGTCCTTCTGATTCCAGCCTTGAGCCCAGCCCCCCTGGACTCACTGTCTCTTCTCCCTGAGTTGGAAGTGCTGATTAACTTCAGACTCATCGTTGTCTCTCGGGGCTGAGGTGTTTTAGCCCTTATGGCCAGACTGGGCTTGGCTTGGCTGGGAGCAGGGTGGCCTCCGGGCAGGGATTGGTGAGCTCAGCCGGGCAGAGCTGTGCCCAGTGAGCTCACTGCCTCCAGAAGCCATGGCTGCCTTTCCCAGACCCTGCCTCCCAGCCTGAGCCTGTAGCTCAGAACTGGCAGTCCTGCCTGCAGTGTGGGAGAATAAGCCTGCCCATATGATCTTCTGTTCTCAAGTCTTGTTCTTCATGCCCATCCCCCACCGTCAACATCTGGTTCCTGGAAAACCTTATAATTACCCGGAGGGAGACAGGACAGCCCCAGACAGCAATACGTTGTTTTCACCTCTTTCTTTCAGAGTTCTTTCCCCTGAAATGGGGAGAGGGGGAGGCAGGGAGACATGCTAACCATGTGGCTTTTTCTGGAAGCATTTTTTTCCCCTGGATTGTAAACTCATAGAGTCCCTGACCATGCAGCCGTGAGGAAGACAGGGTTGCAGCATCTTGGTCCCTGGGTCCCCAGGCAGGGCTGGAAGTGTGTGTTTGAGCCTGAGGTCATGAGAGTAGGTGGCTATGGGTCCTGCTGCTCTGGGGAAGAGGCCAGAGAAGGAATGGCCTTGGACTTCCCCTACTAATTCTCAGCTTATGAGCACAACTGAAGCCTCTGAATCAGCATGGGAGGGCCTGGCCTCCACCTGGAGTCCTGAGATCGCAGGAGGTATATATCTTGCTTTACAACTAGGGCTTGGAGTCCCCAAACAGCTTCCTTAGGTGCTTCTGTGCTCAGGGGCTCTCCCAGGCTCCAGGCTGTGGTCTTGAGCACCACAATTGGGGAACTCATGCCCTGAGCTCATTGTGGGTCTGAGTGGTAGGAGTGCCCTAGTAAGCAGAGCAAGGCCCAGTGTGGTCTCTCAGGGGAACCATGCCGGGCTTATGCAGCCCCACCTCAATACTGACCTTGGTCAGATGATTCTCCAGTTCCTAATCTTGGTGTGGGGACAGCACCAAACACCTCCAGGACTGTCATCATCACCTTTCTGGATGATAAGGGCCAGTGGTCAGTAATGAGTGGCCAGCTGGGCTCTCTGAGTTGACCATTTCTGTCCCTTGGGCTGTTCAACCTGAGATGGAGGCTAGGAATCTGTGATCACCTGGCCAGACTAATGATCCTGGATCAAGGTTTTCCATGTGATTTGTTTTCCACTGAGTGGTCAGCAAGTCCTCCCGGAGTCCTTTCCTGTGTCTCTGTCAGTTACCCTCACTGTCCTCTTTTCCTTCTATCTCCACGCCAAGACTCTCAGATTCCCACGTGTTAATTAGTGTTAGGGGGCCTTTCTCTTCGGTTCCAAATGAGCAGCACAGGCAGTTGGTACAGTGAGGAGTGAGAAAGGGGAGTTCTCCCTGGACTGGAGCCATCAAGGAGGGCTTCCTGGAGGAAGGGGAAACAGCCTTTGAGGGATGGGGCAGGGAGATTGCACTAACCAGAGACCCTCCGGTGGGTGCCTGTCTGGTTCCAGGTGGAATTCTATCCCTGGGTCAAGGTAACCTTTTGTTCTCACTCTCTCCTTTGGAAGGCTTTATTGCCAACCTGTCAGTGCAGCGACAGTTCTTTCCCACTGATGAAGATGAAACAGGAGCCGCCAAGGCCTTGATGAGACTTCAGGACACATACAAACTGGACCCAGACACAATTTCCAAAGGGGAGCTTCCAGGTAACTCACCACTCCATACAAAGCCTGTCCAGCCTGTGTGTCTACTGTGGTGTATGGACAAGGATGGAGCCACTGCTGACTCATGGTCTCTACGCTCAGGCTCACCACGACCTCTGGCTGTAGTTCTTTCTTGGGTTTCCAGTTGGTGTCAGTCCTCTATTCCCATGACAGCTGTCTCCCCTCAGCCCCTGCCCCACCACCTCCCTCCAGTATTAGCCCAGGCCTGTCCTCTCTCAGCTCAGAGAATGCCGA